GGGGGGGAGGGGGCGAGGAAGCGCCGGGCCTGGAACATAAATTAAAACGCATCGCTGGTTATAAATGGGGGGAGGGCGTAAACGCGAGCGGCAGCGGCGGTAGCAGCCAGCGTGTTTAGGAGCGGGCGGACGGCGTCAGGAGAGCTACGAGGCATCACCGAAGGAGACAGACGGGACGACGGGCGGGCCGGACCCGGACGGGAAAGTTCACATCTGACTCGCACCGGCCTTGACCGCCATTCGTGCGGCCGCAGCAGCACAAGCACCTCGCCGCCGCCGCGCCCCGCGCTGCTGCTGCTGCTGCATGTCGCTCGCCTGTGCCCCCTCCTCCGCCTCCTGCCTGTCGGACGAATGGCCTGCCGAGACTGTACAAAAGGCTTTGGTGCGCCGAGGACCGGCTGCGGTCGGAACGACGCCACTAACACCTCGTGTGGACCGCAACCTCCACCACCAGCACCACCACCAGCACCACCAGCACCATGAGCGCCACCATGTGTGCGGCCGCACCCGGACTGGCGGCTGCTTGGCGACAATAATATTCGCGGCTCGCCATAACAGTGCGCGCCAGAGCCGCCACCATGAGCGCCAGGCTGCTGCTGCTGCTGCCGCCGCCGCCGGGGTGGAGGTCCTAACGGCCGACGCTGACCAGACTTGATGGGGCTCTCCGCACACACGCGCACCACACTCGTGTGGTGTGTTGTGTAGTAGTAGTAGCAGAGCGGGGTGTGCAGGCAGACGCAGATGCCTTGAACTAGTTCCTGGACGTGGCGGGGCGGGCGGTGGGGTACAACATACATACATACACAGACTGTTTGGCCGGTCGGACCGCCCCCGCCCCGCCCCGCCTCACCACACCCCACTACTTGACCCCGGTGAGAGTCGGATCCTCCCGCGCAGGCTCCCAGCTCCCTCTGCACTCCAGTAAAATCTCCCGAATCGGAGGGGCGCGCGCTTTCAGGAAACTCATGAAAGGGGACCCCGACCGCAATCGGGATCAGGAACATCCGAGAATGTGCGGGGTTCTGTGGGCTGGTGATACGCGATACTCCTGCGCGCGTTCTATCCTGCTTCGCCCTCCGGTTGTGTGTGCATCTTGCACCGCCTCCATGCAGACAGGCGGGCGTTTGCGGATACGGACGGGTTCGCCTTTCGTCGCTGACCTCGGCGCCTGTGTGGGTAGGCAAACTGCACGCTCGCCTGCGTGCGGTGCAGCCTAACTGCGGAATGGAAGGGGATCTGCTGCCACCCTCCTGCATGAGGCGAGGCTTCTGAGCGCGTGAGCTCGTGAGTTCAGAGGGAAGTCCTTTCCCCCCTCCTCCCCTTCCCTCCCGGACTCAGTCGCTAAGTGGTTGCATCGCCGCGTTGTTTGGGCCAGCCCGGGCCCGGGCCGGTGCGGGGCCCTCTGCATGTCCTGCTCCCCTCCCGAGAACACACCATACACACCACGCGCGCGCTGGGCGCTGGGCTCCCGGCAACTCGGCTCGTTGCGCAAGGGTGGGCATGTCAGTGAGACATGACTCCCGGGCCCACCTAGAGCCGCGCCCGGCCCGCCCCGGGGCGCCCGTAGAAACAACGACCCGACACGGGTAAGGTACGTGCTCTGTGTGTGTTCAGGTGGGCTGCCGCCCCCCTTCCTATACCGCACCGCTCTCCCCCCGATACACTCGGGCCGAAGCTGCAGCTTTCCTCATGAGCTCTGCTGCTCAGCCAGTGTGTGCCACACCGCACGGCCGATACACGGGGGGGCCTCTTGCCGATTGGCCACAAATCATTGCGCCGAAACCGATATCCACTATCGCGGACAGCACAAGAGACGCGGGCGGCGGCAACTGGTGGTGGTGGGGCGCCGAGCGGGCTGGGGGTGCTGGG